CCCGCCCTCTCAGCCTACGGAGATGCTCATTGGAGAACTCCTTTGGACCCGCCCACGCAACCCGGACGGAGGTTCTCCTTGGGAGAAAGTTAACTGAAATAACGTAAGAGAGCGCCGCAATGCTTTCTGGGAAGTGTAGTGTAGGCGCTTTGGGCAGGGCCTCCTGCTTTCTTATTGCTGGTCACAAAATTTTATAACTGTAATTAACCCAGGGCGGAAGAGCTAGCAGGATCTTCAGCCTTGGGAGGAAGGGCAGAGAATCCAGTCAGAAGAAACAAGGGTAAGTTGTTACATTCAGTCTGGGCTCGGTGTCATTCACCAATTTAACAAATTATTTTGGAGTGCTGACTCTGCTACGGTTTTTGCAAACATAATCGCATTTGAAATGTTGTGAAAGGAAGTGGTGTGTGGAAAACAAACACAATGGAAAACTATGTAGCAGTGAAAATGAATGCGCTAGAGCTTCCAGGTACAAGCATCAACAGCTGAATTTCAGAAACATGATGTTCACTGAAAGAAGGAAATAGAATAACATTTGTGTAAAGTTCAAACCAAGCAAAACTAATGTTGTTAAGAGAAACATACGTATGTGGTAAAATACTATACAAAAAAGCAAAGGAATTGGGGCGGGGAGGAGGAATCAGGATAATATAGTTTGGATATATTTGATCCCCACAGTTCATGTTGAAATTTGATCTCCAATGTGGAAGTGTGGGGAGGTGTTGGGGTCATGGGGGGGGATCCCTCATGAATAGGTTAATGACCTCCGCGGGGGGGGGGCGATTAGTGAGTGACTTCTCACTCTAATAACAAAAGAATTGGTTGTTTAAAAGACTGGCACCTCCCCTCTCTTTCTTTCTTGCTTCCTGTCACCATGTGGTCTCCTTGTACCTGCTGGCTGTCCTGCAGTTTTCCGCCAAGAGTAGCAGCAGGCTGATGCCCATGCCAAATACAGCTGTCCAGAATCGTGAGCCAAATGAACCTCTTCTCTTTATAAATTACCCATTTTCAGGTATTCTGTTACAGCAACACACAAGTGGACAAAATGGGATATTGGTGACCTCTAGGGAGTGGGGAGGGCAGGACACAGGAGGGCAGGGAAAACGACTACTGGAAGGAGGACATAGACACCTCTTCACTTTCTCAGATTGGAGTGGGTGCTTTTTTTCACAGGTGCTTTTTTCATTATTATGCATATTCAAGATGTTCAGTACATACATTTTGTACTGGATTTATTTGTTTATTTATTGGACCACTGGCCAGTACAAGTATCTGAACCCCTGACCTTCATGTTTTAACACTGCAATCTAACCAACTGAGCTAACTGGCCAGCCCTATGGATTTACTATAAAACATTTTCTAGACAAAAAAGAAGTGTTTGTATATTCCATTTTATTTTCTGTCAGGTGTTGGGAGCAGGGAACAAATATACTCAAACCTTTAAGAACCTTGAATCACACCCATTTTTAAAAAAGCAAAATAAACAAACAGCAACAAAAACCCAGGACACACACCTTGCGGTGAGATCAAATATCACAAGCTTGCTTGCTTATTCAATGGAGGCATAAGAGCTCATTGGTCCCCAAGGTAGACAAGACAGTGGAGAATGGCTGAGGTTAGGGAGATTTTCCAGGGGAGGTGATGGGATGAAATACACCATTTTCTTGGAGTGGTCCTCTGCCAACAGAGTCATGCAAACCACTGAATGAGCATAGTCTCTCGGCTTGGCAGTGTACACATTCCACAGGTTTTTGTGGGTAAAAAGTGTCAACAGCAAGTAGTATAAGATGTCAGTCCCATAGATCTGGATGGTGACACCGGAGGTGCCTGAAAGGAGGTAGAAGCAGATGCATCGACATATCTCTGCAGTTTAACAAGCAAACACCTCTGTTTGATGAGCTTTTGATTCAGAAAAGCTGGTGATTCAAAGGCGTTTGGTCAATTTTTCACTCAGGGCCACCCCAAAGACTTCCTGCAACTGCTTTGCAGGACCAGCTAGTTCCATTTAAGCTCCTGGTTGAGGGTCTGGAAGTTTATGACACAGAATTGAAGTCTGGAGGTGGCAAGCATAGCCCTCTCAGGCTGCATGGTGCCTTTAAGTAGGAGACAGTGCAGGAGTCGTCCTTGAGAAGGGTCCTGGCTAGAGAAGGATCACTGCCAACTACTCTGCATCCTCTGACAAATTCAAGAAAAGAGACACTGAAGTGTAAAAGCCCCGTGAACATCAATATTGGGGAATTCACCATGGGATTTCTCCCCAAGAAGCTATAGTGAATATTTGTTTCTTTGGCTATTCAGTATTCCTTTCTTCTGCAGAACTAAATCTCTCTTCTTTCAGTTCACATGGATGAGGTGAGACACTATGCCTGACTCTGGGGGTGGAAACTTATCCAGGCCTGGCCAATCAGCAGACAAAATCACTTAGCCACTGGGCCAGGGCGGGTGGCTGTTGAGGGGAGTGGTAACCAGATTAGTCTAATCAAAATCCCAGGAGTTAAAAGGAAGTTGCTAAATTTAAAAGAGCTCTCTTTTCTGCCAGACTTGAATGTAGGAGGATGTTAACGGGTGGCTGTTGAGGGGAGTGGTAACCAGATTAGTCTAATCAAAATCCCAGGAGTTAAATGGAAGTTGCTAAATTTAAAAGAGCTCTCTTTTCTGCCAGACTTGAATGTAGGAGGATGTTAAGTTTGGAGCTACTGAGAGCCATCTTGCTACCTTATATAGCCTGAAAATGATGTTAATGGGAAGGGTACCGGAATCTTGTGCCCTTTATACTCAAGTAAGAGTGACCTGAATTTGTAGTGTGGGAGCTAATGGGAAAATCACCAGTGCCTATGGAGCTGATAAATCAGAAGCAGCAAAATAAAGATTTCAGGTCCAGGTTTCTGAATTCAGAAAGGTGAAAGAAACTTATCTGGTGCTTGCAGGTATCATGTGAGCTGGGGGCAAACTATCCCTTCCCTCTCATCACCACCTGGTAGTACCTCAGTCAAACCACTCTCTGGCTTCTTTGCTGGCCCTGTTTCCCAAGTTTTGGGCCTGTGATTTCCTCACAAGCTGTAAATAACTATAACTTGTTGAGGAGACCATCTTTCCTGCACTGAATTGCTTTTCTGCCTTTGTCAAAAAATCAATTGGGTATGTTTGTGTGGGACTATGTCTGGGTTCTCTTGTCTATTGCATTGATCTATAATGTATGTCTATCCTTCTGTAAATATTATGCAGTCTTGGTTACTATAGCTTTATAATAAGTTTTGAAATTGGGTAGACTGAAAAAGGTGAATAAAGTGGGAGCAAAGTTGTTTTAGCTATTCTAATTTCTTTGCCTTTCTATATAACTTTTATAATAATTTTGTCTATACGTACAAAAAATCTTACTGGGATTTTGATAAGAATTGCAAATCTTTATATCAACTTGGAAGGAACTGACATCTTTACTCTGTTTAGTCTTCTAATCCATCAACATGATATCTCTTCGTTTATTTACATCTTTGATTTCTTCTGTGAGCATTGTATAGTTTTCAGCTTACAAGTCCCATACATGTTCTGTTAGATGTACACCTAAGTATTTAATTTTTATTAGTAATTGTAAATGTATTTTTAATTTTGGTGTCTGCATGTTCATTGCCAGTATATAGAAATTCAACTGAGTTTTGAATGTTTATTTTATATCTTGTGACATTGCTATACTCAAGTATTAGTTCTAGAAAAAAATATTTTTAATAGCTTTTAATAAGGCTTGAAATTAAGATTCATATTAAGTGTGCTCTTGACTTCTTGTAAATTCAGGAAGAACTCAAATGGCTGAAGTCCATGTCCTCCTTCCCCCTGTGCTTCCATAGGTAAGGTCCCCTTGCCAAACAACCCTACTTATCACAGGGACCAGACACTGTGCCTGCTTATCCCTGAGTAACAGGCCTCAATTCCCTGACAGCCCAAGGAATTATTCAGATAAGCCAATGACATCCTTCTGTGGAAACCAGGGGTCACCCCACTCAGTTGTTACCACAAAGCCTGCATCCTGCACTCCCTCATTTTTCACTCTGTTCTGGAGCACAACCACCGTGCGACCCTACATGGTATGCAGCGTCCCCTGGGCCATGAGTTTATGTGACTAAAAAACTGCTATTGATCTTATTTGTCCAGTCTCAGGTGTTGTGTGTTCAGCCATCCCCATGTCTCTAGGGTGGGAATCCCAGTGAGAATCTCTCCCTCATCAATGGAGTGAAGATCAGTGAATAAAATAATTGTCATCACCAACAGGATGGTCCATCCTCAACTGAGGACACCTGATCAGCTGTAACTAACTGTACCTTTGCTAATTAACTTGTTTCATAAGGTGGCAATGACTGTCTAGAACATAACTACCAGTTGCTCGCCAGCTTGTGCTCAACTTATTTCAGTTAAGTGTTACCATCTCTTCCCAGCCTAATGTTAATTGTACACATCCTGGTGTGGGGTGCCATCAGGTGTGGCCTATGTCTGCCAGGTAGCCTCAATGGCTCCCAACTGGGGGCAGCAACAACAAAATTCCCTAAGTGGTGGGTGCTTGAGTTTTACTCCCTGGGGGTCAGACGAGAGCTCTTTGGGTCATGGCATCTAGCCTCATGACCCTCACTGGCTGCTTGGGGCAGCCATACACACACTGTTCAGGAAAGTATGTCCCCTTCACAGTTCTGGGGACAACCCTTTGTGCTGTATGTGGAAAAAGAGGCCAGCACTCTGGGAAGATGTACGAAGAACTCCCTGGTTGCCTCCTAAGAGTGGTGGGCATTCAGGCAAGGGTGACGATGTGTCCGGTGCTACTTCCTCCCCTGCTGCTCTCCTGTGCTCTTCTGAACCCTAAGGGTATCAGGGTGCACATCCATGGCAGTCGATGGCCCAGACACTGATGATAAAAAACAATAGTGCAGCAGGGAGAGGCATTTGGTGTTGAGCTGCCCTCCCCAGTGCCAAACCCCTATCCAGCACATTTGCATTTTGCCCACCAGCATGCCAAAGCACTCATCTTATGATCAAGAGGCTCAATAGCCCCTACCCAGGCCACAGTCAAAATGAACTTACTGGGTGTGGATCCCAACACTGGGGAGGTTAGCTGGCATTCCCTGGAGAATGAGGATGGCAGAACTCAATAGCCCCTACCCAGGCCACAGTCAAAATGAACTTATTGGGTGTGGATCCCAACACTGGGGAGGTTAGCTGGCATTCCCTGGAGAATGAGGATGGCAGAGCCACTGAGCTCCCTGTCCCTGTCACCAGCCAGAAGCTCTACACCACATGTGATCTGATGGAAACAGCAACAACAGCAACAAACACGTGACTTTATGTGGCTAGAAATGAAAAATATTCAGAGAGAATTTGTGGAGATAGAGAATCCTTAAAACACCTAGAGATCCCATTAAATTTAAACATAGTAAGTCCTTTGCTCTTATAGATTTAGCAATTATGTTCTGCCTGTTTCAATGGCCTCTCAGCCACAGTTTGCCTTCCCCTCCAGAGGGACACAGTACTACTTTACCTTATTACCCCCAGGGACCTACACAGCTCTGCCATCACACACAATCTTTGCAGACAGGCTCTTACCCGCATCCACCTTTTCAGGAGTACAGGTATGACAATATGTTTATGACATCCTCCTTTGAGTACATTTTTGGGAACACACCTGTTAAGGAAGTCCAAAATCTTTTAGTCCTTTTTGGGTTCTTGAGGCAACACATTCCTTGTCTACAAATTTTACTTAAACCCATTTGTGCTCATACTTGCAAATTAGCCTACCTTGGGTGCGGCCCCCTCTAACAAAAAGCTCTAGAATTTGTCCAAATTAAAGTCAACAGGTGTTCCCGTTAGTGCCCTCAGAGACTCCTTCAGTGAAGAGGCTTTAGTGACCTCCTTTCCTGCCACCTTCAGTATCTGGACCACCCATGATGACTATAAGTTGCCCACAGGATTCTAATGCAAGCAACTGCTCTCCTTGGCCCTGCACTATATGCCATTAGAGTGGCAATTGCCAGCCCCACACTGTGGTCTTCTGGAAATAGAGGCTTTCACAGGCCCTGAGCTTCCATACCCAGCTGCCCATTAGTCCTTGGATTATGGAAGCAGCACCCCATAGCTCAGTGTGTATACCAAGATCTCCTTCCTACAGTATGGAGCCAAACCTGGGCTCTCTGGCATATGTCATCTGCAGGTGGGGGTGGCCCTTCTTGTCTCACTCCCTTGCCAGATGGCATGGTGCTGGAGGAGGTCACCCTCTCCCGAGC